TTGCTTTTCCGGACATTTTGCATGCATACAAAAACAGATACTATTTTTGTTTGCAAATAAATTTGTGTAGATTTAGGCTGATAAGACAACATACGGCACCGTTTCTACAAAAGTGAAGCTGGACCTCCAGTAGGAAAAAAATAACGGAACTATCGGAATTGTCTTTTTTAAATTTGCTCGTCACTGAAGGCTAAAATGGGCGCCATTTTCAATGGGAGTGTGACTGTTTACCAGGTGTTTTTGTGAAAAAGCAATTTACAGAGGTATATTCGAATAAACCTACGGCTGGTATAATGACGGCGTTGTTGTTGTCGCATTTGCTTGTAAACAACATGCATTCTTGTCATTCTTGTTGGATAACCTGTCAGGAAGGAATAATGCGTATTTTTGAACATTTGCGATTACGAATCAATTGAGGCTGGCATTAATTGCAATGATGAACTATTTACATCATTTTATTGGCAGTCATTTGGATTAAACTGTTTTCGTAATGCTTCTGGAATCTGGTGCCCGAAAATGTCAAAAAGCCACCACTGTACTGTCAACTGAAAAACGTTCTCTGATAAAACGACCTCGGTTATCAAACTATAAATCAACACCCACCAAAGGAAAAACGGGGTAGTGAAAAATTTTGACCATGAATAAAGTTTTTTAAACTGTTATGATTTTATAGTGCGTTTTGCAATTGGCCGCCTTTAATTACAAAGTGTTCCTCTTCATTGCATCTCATTTAGCTTAAATTGTCTTCAGTAAAACAGCTAATTTTATCGCTGTTCTGAGTTGTGGAATGGCTGAATGAGCGCCTGTGTCTGCTTTTGTAAATAAAAATAAAACTAAGTTTTCCAAGATTGGTTGTTCAACATTGCAGGAATTTCGGTACATAAAATTAACAATCTGTCCATGCTGCACATAAAAACCGGTTCAAATGCTTTGCTCAATAACAACAGGGGAAATAGAAGGTAAGATTGTTCCCAAGTCTTTTGCATTAAACTGTATTAAGGAACCAGAATATGTTATTTCTGACCCCTGGCAATTGTACATTGTAGCCACAAAATTCACGTTTGCTAAGCTTGACTTTAACATGTGCTGATAGTTTGCAATGCTGTCGAAAACTATAATCGAACACCGCAAGTAGAAAGTCAGTTTAGGGTGTTTATATTTGTTCTGGGAGTTATGCTGCAGTTGTACCCCGAGTTAAAGCAAGGCAGGACAGCAAAGAGGAAGTTCACTTTTGCTGACATGGTTCGTGATCTAACAGATCAGAACAAGATCCTCGTTAGAAGGAGAAAATAGAAACTATAATTTACTGAGGAATCACTCGCTGCACCACCATAACCAAACATGGTTTTCTCTACGTACTCTCACCATTTGTTTCAGTTAATGTCACGTCCCGGTGATTAGAAACAATTGTTCAGCTCACAGCTATTCAGTCCATATTTACACAAATACATTATTATTTCTCCCTAACACCTGCAGAAAAGGTTGACAGTAAGTGCACCACTATGTATTTTTTTGGTTACGATAACTAAGCATTGAGCGCATATCATAACATGGACGATATTGAAAGAAATACGGAACTGCTCGTTCACTGATGACCGTATACCAAAACTGGTACCACAACAGAGCAGACCAACCATTCAATCTGAGGTGTAAGTTGCCTGTGGATCACTGAAACAAGATGCTGGGCGTAAGTAGCCAGCTTTATTGGCATTGTAGGATAGCACCCACAACACACGCAAATGCACCGTTTGTGTATGCCTTGTCGGTTGTCTTCAGACTCTGCACTCGGCCGAGGCAGTTTTATGTTAGGCATCCGTATTGGTCGTATATGTGGAAAATACAAAACCAGTACTTGCTGAGTAGTCTGAAGACCAGAAAATATACTTGAATAATCACCCAACTTAGATGTCAAAAATGGAGCGGCGATTGTAAATTTTGGATCCATTTTGAAACCCATGTGTACTGTGCATTGCAAGGGATATACGATCTATGAGATTTTACACAAATTTTGTCAACCCGATCCTTTAGGGCGGTTCCAATTAAGCAATCTTGGGGGTAGACATCGTAAAGGCTAGCGTACAAATTACTCTGACGAAAAAGAAATGACAGACCGATTTGCAGTCTGTTGTGCAATAATTTTGTCCCGAACACTAAAATGGATTATGAAGGAAATAGGGAATCTTACGGCATGTTCTTTAGTTTGGTCATCAGCGTAACAGCTTTAATGTTGGTCAGATAGCCAGATACATTTGGCTGATTACCTAGTGTATGCTTTAGAATGCGGCTCTGTATCTGTGTTGCGAGCGATTTAAGCAATGCCAATAAGTGCGGCAGTTTAAAACATCGGACTTGTTTTGGGGCAGTACTTGGTGAAACAGGCGTCCGCTTCACCTCAGGTACTGGTAGTAGGAATATTTCATGCTCTGTTTTAGACAAACGATTTAGTAGCTGCCTAGAGAAAATTGGATAGAGTAGTTTTCAATCTGGACCGTGAATTTTTTAGGCCTGATTTTGCGACATTTTGGCACGTATGGTGACTAGGGATTGAGCAATTGTGTTTGCAGCTTGTTTGACCTCATTGAACGCAAATTTCTGTTTCAACAACAACGTGCCCACATAATGGACACCCGCCATAAAGAGCTAATATTATTGTAGCTTATACACGAATGCTGACCTGAATCTGAAACTGATATTGAACATCTGAGAGTAAATATTTCGAGACAAGTTTGCCGTGTTAACTTTACAGGAGCACAACTCATTGCAGGTACGTCCTTTACTGTTGAGCAATATCGATTCACTGATCCGCGTTCAAAAGGTTGGCATAGCTGAGCTAATTGTATTGATGATAGAAAAGTATCGATACAGCTAGAAGATTAACATTTGATAAATTCCGTCCCATATAAGCCTACATAGAAGAGCTTACATAGAGAACATCACAAACGAGAGATTCAGCTGGGTTCCAGGTGAGTCTCTCGAAAGAACCAAATTAGTTTGCAAATGAGTGTATATTCGCTAATTTCGTGCAATTTGCTTTCAAGTGAAACATAAGGTTAACGGAAACCCGAGGACTGAGTCTACCTGATGAGCCCCAAGGAGAGTATATCTGATCGTGGTCTGTCGACGGATTTTCAGCAACCTTATGAGTAGTACATTACGAAGATTTACATGTATCGCGATATCTCGAATATCGTAGCGACTGAAACACGAGGCTGCCTGGTGCAGCACATTCAGTTACCTGAGAACATCACAAACGAGAGATTCAGCTGGGTTCCAGGTGCCTCTCAAAAAACCGAATTAGTTTGCAAATGATTGTATATATTTGCTTAGATTACATATTGTTTTCTGTCATGCGTCTGTTGAGGAACCTTTTTAGTCCGTATCCAGTAGAAAGATTTCATCAGGTTATAGAAGGCGATTGCTATTCCTCAACAGCTGAATAAATAAATTAAACAACTGCCCACCGTCTGGTTTTTAAAAGCAACGAAGAGATGTGAGTGAATTCAATATTTTTTGTAATAAACTGCAGAACGGCCGTTCGGATTACATCGACCTACAAAATATCGTTACCGTGAGGATAGATGCGTAGTGATTATCTGTATGTCTAAAACAATCTGTCTCATTTAATTTCGAAAGGTGGATGAACTTTTTAATCATAACATACTTTGGAATTCTGACAGGGGAATAATTGATAAAACATGGTATTCCTTCTGATTTAACCAAACCAAACTCTTCTAATACCATCATACCAAAACTTCATTCCAACATGCACATTTCAGTAACCTCAGAGAGTAAGGTTTTTGGAAATTTGTATCTACCATCCACATAAGCATGGTGGATGTTGATTCAAGAAATACCCCTATTTGATTCACAAGTAAATCCAAGTATCACTGTGGACACATCGATATGGCATGTTAATCAAAAGCCTATACCTTGTAGGCTACATACTACATAACACGAGTCTGGATTTCACATTTGCCTATTTTCCATAAAATGATGGTAAAGTCAACTGACATAAGTAATTAAACCCCAAGTCGGCAACGATATAAGCCCTGGTTGCTGGCGTTCGTTGCACAAACCACAAACGTGGCATACAATGCTGCTACACCCAGACGGTAAATGCTAGTTTACGACCGAGTGAATATCCGGTGGGAACAGATGCAGACATCGGTTACAGAGTGGTAGCTGGCGCAAACCGCTTGTAATATCACGGAGCAGGTTAGTAGGTTTAATTTAACATCTTTATGCAGTAAAACGTGACGTTCTCCTCGAAGAATTTGCGTGACATGATCTTCTGGGCAATGCTACCAGACAGTGAATTACTTTCCGATTACCATTGGTACGACCGAGTTGATGACGGGTACGACAATATAAAACGTTGACAGGCTACATTGGCATTCGAAATCTCAATCGCGTCTCTGTAGGTTTTTGGACTTTACGCTTATAGCAAGCGTTCTCACAAGCCTTAGAGACTAACGCTTTTGCTTGTTATTGAAATAAAATTGCTATTTTGTGTGATGTCTTCAAGTTTTAGCAATTAAAAAGCTAACTCCCAAAGGTTTACGGATTAAATTTTTTAATGTCAGTTTGTGTATAAATATAAACACTGATTGAAAATTCCTTAAACCAAATAAACCGTCAAATCATCTGCTTTTGTTTTTTTCTCACATTTAAAGTGTGTACTGGGCTAAAAAGCGAGGGTCAGAGGATCAGATTTAACGAGTACTCTTAGGAATATTCTTAAACGGATTCTGAATAAGAGGCCTGGAAAAAAAACCCACAAGGGTCACAATAAACAGTAGCACCCCGATGGTCAGTATCACCTCGCTGCGGACCTTCCGGTAACTAACCGTAACTTTCTCCATATGGATGATCATTGCCACAACTTTCTAAGGCTTCCCTTGACTAATCAGTCCAGTGCGTCTGGGGTGGCATTTCCAGCACAATATTATTTCAGTTTCAGGTAACAATTTTTGTTATCCCTATGCTTGTGCCCCTTTCAGCTTAAAAATAATCCCTGCCTGGAGCCTACCCAGATGAAATATGTGCACCTTAACCTACACAGTCTGGATGCCATTCAGTTGGATTCATCCACTAACGAGGCTCTAAAACCTGGCGGACCGATGATGGTTGGCAAATACGCCAATGTTCATTGAGCCGAATACATGCTACTCAAAATAGCGAGTTAGATCCGATGTAGCACAATCAGCTGGCAAGCGCACAAAAGCCAGGTTTTATTCACTAAATGGCCCCGATATAATACAGCAGATAAAATAATAAAAACGAAAAATAAGAAAATGATAAGCTTCCGTCGCAAGACGCGAGGTATCACGGGCGACACGACATCCGATTCGGTGGCGTTCCAGGAAATTATGCCAGCTTCACCCAGACTCAGCCAACCAAAGTGACTCTGGAACGTCTCCGATTCTTTATGTCCCTCTCCATTCCTAATGCTCCTTCCGTCCAACAAAGCGGTTGCAACTTTCAGTAACACAGGATCCTGCCTTTGGAGTCGCACCAACCTTCCGGGATCCAGTTTGGTGACGAGGCTATTGGTCCCAATCATGATCCTGGGGGCCTCATCTTCAGCCGCTGCACTTGACAGCCAATCAGCCAAGTGGTTCTCCTTTCCTGGCACGTGCTAGATTGTGGAATCGTACTCTTGCAACTGGAGTGCCCAGCGCGCGAGCTTCCCGCGAGGATCTCTGGTGGTCCTGATCCACTCCAGGGGTTTGTGATCGGTTTTGACATGAAACCTTTGTTCAAGAGGACATGGCGTCTACTTATACACGGCGAGTACTTCTGTTCAGCGTTAGCCAGGACACGACTGGCATATTCGATAACTCCATACATTTGCTTTAGGTCTGTGCCGATACCTCGACCACTAGCGTCTGTTGCAACAGTGAACATCTCTTCGACCCTGGGCAGTTTGAGGGTCAGTTGTTGATCCAACATCCACGCTTTGACATCTCGAAGGCCACATATGCTTCTCTGGTTCATTAATATTTCCGACTTTGCCCGAGCAAGTCGTACAGTGTCGCAGCGATTGTGTTGAAATTCTTAACTAACCCCCTGTAGTATGCTGCTCGTCCAAGAAACTACCCTAGAGGCCGCTTTGAATTTGGAACAGCACAATCCTCGATATTTGCCAATTTTTCGGGCAGTGGGCTGGCTTATCCAATTTATGCTCCAGCAGTTTCACCGAACTCCGGGCGAGCTGTGTCTTGGATTGATTTATCCGCCGGCCAGATTCCCGGATCCGCTTAAATACAGCCTTCAAGTAAACTGTACACCCTAATTCCAAATTGCTATACACAAAGATATCGCCTTTGTACACGGCAACATTCTCGAGTCCCCTCATTAAACATAGCACCAAGCCCTGGAATGTGAATTCTGCCCCAGATAAACCGGACCTCATCCGTCATAAACGCTGTTTGCTCCTGATCCCCCGCCTTGATATGTAGTTGCCGGTATCCGGAACGCAAGTTGGACACAGTAAAACATCGAAAATTCTGAAGGGAATCGAAATTCTCCGCAACCTAGCCACTACTACAACCCGATTTACGGTCAGGTTGTTCGAGCGCCGGAAATCCACGCAAAACCTGTATAGTTGTTTGCCTCCCTTACAAGCACAACCGGGGAGCTGTACCTACTATTGGATTCTGTGAATATGCCATCGTTCATCATCTCTCCAATCTGTTTATGGACCTTCCACGGGAAAGGAGACGGCACCGGACGAAGGCCGTAAAGTCATAAGCGTTCTGGCGATAGGAGAAATTTGTTTTCAGTACAGGGGCAGAAGACAAACGGATTTTCATAACCCGTGAACAGTTCGGAATATCCCTCGACCATGGACCATCATGAAGGTGAGTTACAGGAGGGAAGATTTTGAACATGCAGCTCACTCACGTCAGTGCTTGACCGCGCAATATCTTGTCACCTGCTTTTCCTGCCTTAGGTGCGCACGGTTTGCATTCAGCTTGATTCCCTCTCCAGCTCGACGATACCCCAACTCCTGTATAAAACACAATTCCTTTTCCACGTCTACCTCGATAATGACTTGTATGGCAGCCTGTATCATTGCGCTCATCTCAACCCACACAGGAAAAGAGGAGTACTCTAAAATTTTATTATTGAAAATTGGTCGGGTAGAACCACATTGACTCCTTCAGCGGCCTGGCCTGCCACACTTGTAGCACCATCTTGTTCGAGCTTGCCCCAGCGAATACGTCCTTGTGGCTGCAAGCTGCCCCGCGGGTATGTCCACTCCGGTCTGCAGTTCATCCACTGTTGAACCCTTCCTGTTCTCCTCCGACTGGAACGTGTCCAGTGGTGCCTCGGCCTGAACCCATACCAGATGCACCAGCTCCTCCACACGCAACTGGCCAGTGAATCTGGCCATTCGCAACTGGGTATCAAGCGCGGGCTGCACAACCTCGAGGAACTGGTCGGATAGCAACTGGTGGCGCAACACTCCGTCTAGTCCCTGCAAAGCCCGATTCAACGATTGCTGCGGGCTGGCGAAGAAAACGGTCGGGTCACATCCAGATGCTATCGTGACCGACTTAAACCGCCTCATTCCTCCTGGCGGTTGACCACTAAAAGGGCTTTTTCTGAGAAGGCCCGGTCCATCTTCCGGGGGCCCATTCTGGCCGCATCCAGGGCTGCGTTCGCCGGGCTCCCGAGGGGGTCTTCAGCGCCTCCAAATTATCACCGACGGTATCCAGTCCAGCAGCCCCGTAACTACTTAAAAGTCTTCCAGAAAGTTCCAAACATGTCCACGATGAAAGAGTTGTGGCTACGGGATCTTCATCCTCATCCTGGCCATGGCATCAAATAAAAGGAAGAAGGCCTTTGATGCGGAGTTTTTTATTGTAAAAAGCCAGCTGAACATTCACAGACTATTGGACAGGGATGCAAACCTCTCACATACATCCTGTTTACAAAAACTGAATATCCATCATCTCCTTGAACGCCACTTTCAGAACTTTCCTAGGTATTCATTGACTGTTGCTCAAATGCAAACAAATGCCACAAAGTGACTCCACAAATTCCGCAACAGATCTACCCTGTTCAAGAGACGCGAAGCGTAATTCCAAGAACAACACATACTACTCGCATGCCTCCCTGTCAGTAGTATCACCGTTAAACCAGTATTAATATTTGTTTACCAAGTTGTCATCGGTGCTGCCATTATAAGGGAGAACTAACTCATGTTTATCTCTTTTGATCTTGTTTAAAAACGTGCAACGGCATATATATTCACTTAAACTTCTTCATTTCACCGTAAAACCGCAAAATCAGGGATGAAATATTCTGAAAAATGTGACTAACAGACCACACAGAAAATAGTAGTGGGTAGGACTGGGGTCCTGTGAATAATGAGGTAGATCACATAATTGATGGAATGACCAAAATAATTAGTGTTGGATCAACTAATTTTTTGTGAACACGCTGATAATACATAAATTTATCCCTACGTAAACCGGTGTGTATGTCTGTTCTACAAATTTCTGCAAAGTTGGGATGTAACATGACGAATAAGTTCCCTTATAATAGCTTGCTTTTTTGCGGCGATAAGTTAATTTTGTCCAAATATTCTTACATTTGTGTACATTTGTTACATAATTTCGATAAGTGAATTATTTAACACCCTTTATTATCGAAAGTAAAATTTACACACCCGCCTACATACTCATACGTTCATTTGATTACACAGACAGTTGCCCAATTATGATGTGTTCATTAGTGGGGTTTCTCATCAATGTATCATTAGCTGTACCACAGACCGTTAGTTAAAGTTGTGTTGACGGACAATTAACTCATGCAAAACAAAGCTTGTCTGTACGACTACCTCTCAAATTTACACTTTGTCCCGAGACACCCAAACTAACCAGAATCAATCGCGTATTTCAAGGACAATCCTTTTTGTGATCATGTAGGAAGATTCAGGCTTTTTTAGGAATTGTCTTTTATCGTATTGAGTTGTTCACAGTCAGTGCATTGAAGCAAAAGACTTGTGCTTTTAGCCTTTCATACTAAAAACACTGAAGTACTAGGGCAACGGAAAGCGATTTTATACCGAATGGACGAATCTGTGAGCATAGTCAGAATAGTATGTTAAAAATTTAATAATTTTTATTCAAATGCACGGCTTGTGTTCACGCAGCACAACTTTAATCATTCAAAGTACATGTGGATACATTTAAGTACACCACTGTGGAATAATTCAGCCCGGGAGGACCCCAAGACAAGATTCCGATGGATTTACACCTACGTATCAGAAATAACTGGTACCCCTTGCTATAGACTAATAAAGTAACCATTTCTACTTGAAATGAAGAGTCTCGAAGCTTGGGAGAGAGCGCTTTGCAATTCAATCGCCGGTGAGATAGAATTAAGCAAAAAGTAAAACAGTGGATTGTGTTTGCACATGTATTCTGACTGTACACTGATGAGGGACCTTTAGTAATTTTGGTGTTACTTAACACGCAAAAGGTTAATTCGCCACTGTTATTATTTTCCCTCAAAATTTGTCAAATGTTGTTGAGTCTTAGGCTGTGCCATTAACCGCAGCCAATTATCCTAATATTGTTCTACTTTGCTACCAGCGCTGCAAAGGAAAATAAGTAAATATTGAATATTGATGTATTTCACGCTGTTTATACTTGATAACCAAAGACAGTCAGTAAAGAAAACAAGTTGATTAGAAAATCACAATGCCAATCCAGTATCTGGCTTTGTGATACACCGAAATGCTTCCAATTTCGATAAACTTGCTAAATGCAGTTGCTTTGGTGACAAAATGAAAAGTATAATGTATAACTAGTCTATCGGGCAACAAATTCGTTCTTTGAAATTCCGCTCTGGAATTTTTCCCTTATTTTATAGCCACAAACATTGTGCAACCCAAAGAACTTGATTATAGGTTACTGCCGAAATCATATAGTGGAAGATAGTAGCTTTTTTGTTATCAATCTATATTCTTTTGTTACCTCCGTTGAATTTGCGTGTATGTGAGAGTGTAGAATGATTTCGAACCAAAATTGTTTGAGTAAATATTATTGTAATAGGGAGCAGACTGCCTTACAAGTAGGCACAGTAACTTGCAAGCAATCATACTTGATAAGTCAAGCATTATAAATGAACCTTGGTT